CAAGATTTTGTGGTCTACTTTATCAAATGCTTTTCGGGGTCTATGAACCCTCGGAGGTATTTTTTTTTTCAAGTGCTAATATGTAATTTGAGCATTTGAATAAATCATCATTCATGTTTTTTTTGGCCAAAACCCCAAAACTTGGGCTAGCGCTTCTTTTTTTTTTTAAATTTTAAAAAATAATCTTTGCTTATTAATTTTAAAATTTAATTTTAAGCCAGCCCGTAATGTATGCTAGTATAAGTGGTTTTTGGCAACTGTCTTTCTGTTTTTTTTTTTGTACCTCGTAGTGTGCACAAATTGGAAAAAAATAAAAAAAAAAAAAAAAAATGGGTTTGGGTTTAGTTCTGTGGATTGCCCTTAGGTAAAGGGACCTTTCTGTTTGGGGTACAATGGGAAATGTTGAAGATTCAAAAGTTTTGTTAAATAGTGTTGCAATAATGGGGGACAGCACATGAGCGTTTTTTTATACATGGTTGGGGGCAATAATTTAAGTTTCCTGTTTTGTTTTTTATGATTTAATTTTTAGTGAGACTTCAGTAGGATTTGTTGGTGCCTATTAGAGTATGTGGGCAGTTACCAGTGGGTAGTTTGTTGGGGCTGTTTATTTGTATTTGGGATTTGTTAAGGTTAAAATTTTTTATTTTTTTTAAGTTTTTACTCTTACTGTACTGAAAGACATTTTAACCCTTTTCACTTTTAAATCCAGTAATATTTTGGCTGTAAGCCAGTGTCGACCCCCATAAGAGTATCCCAAAATTCTAGCGACTTCCAACTTGGGGGGGAAAGTGGTTGGCCTACAATGAAAAAAGGGCTGAGTGTTCAGTGTATCAAATAAAAAAATCCTGCAAAGCAGTGCATAAAGAGAAAAAAAACCCGACTTTTTCATTTTTAAAAATCCAAATTTTTGGGTATTTTTTTTATGGTATTTAGGGTTTTATTCTCTAAATTTTTTGGGCCATTTGAAGAAGGAAGATAATTAAAAAACTAGATACGATGTTGAATGATTTTCGGACTAAAAAACCTTGAAAATTTAGCTCAAGTAGTGGGAAAAGTTCGGGTTTTTGCCCATGTTTAAGATGTTCATGTCACACATCCAATACACATCAGCTGGTGGGTCTTGTATGCTTTCACAAATGTGCTGGTATTATTTGTACCATTTTCACAATAATGCAGTAGTCTACATAACAGTAAATCTTCTATTTTTTTGTGTAGATAAAAATTCAAAATGCAAAGCAAGTGTAATATAAGAGTGGCCTGGAGACATGAATAATTAGCACAAAATGTCCAAACCATCTCAATAACCTCTCCTCAGCCGTCTGGATAATAGTTTTGGTAATCCCACACTTCCTCCAAATCTCCAAACTACGGATTTTCTGCATTATATTCACACCACACATTGCCCTCAGACATGACATCTCCACTGCCTCCAGCCTTCTTGTTGCAACATTCACAACCCATGCCTCGCACCCATACAGGAGCGTTGGTATAACTATACTCTCATACATTCCCCTCTTTGCTTTCATGGATAAAGTTCTTTGTCTCCACAGACTCTTCATCAGTTCTATGATTCACCTCATCCTTCATGGACCTATCTGCTAACACGTCCACTCTGAACACATTCACCTTCTCCATACTCTCTCCCTCCAATCTGATATCCAATCTTTCATCACCTAATCTTTTTGTTATCCTCATCACCTTACTCTTTCCTACATTCACTTTTAACTTCCTTCTTTTACATACCCTGCCAAACTCATCAACCAACCTCTGCAACTTCTCTTCAGAACCTCCCAGAAGTGCAGTGTCATCAGCAAAGAGCAACTGTGACAGCTCCCACTTTGTGTTAGATTCTTTATCTTTTAACCCCACACCTCTTGCCAACACCTGAGCATTCACTTCTCTTACTACTCCATCTATAAATATATTGAACAACTATGGTGACATCACACAACCCTGTCTACAGCCTATTTTACTGGGAAATAATCTCCCTTTCACCTACATACTCTAACCCGAGCCTCACTATCCTCGTAAAAAGTTTTCTCCGCTGTCAATAACCTGTGTCTTATTCCATACGTTTGCAACATCTGCCACATTGCCACAAGGTACTACATTCCACAATCAGCTTTCCTGGCACTGTGCCATTCACTCATATACCCTTATCTTACATATGGAGTTTGTGCATGGAGATCAACAACATCCAATCACCTAAAACCCCTAATAACCCAGCAAAAGGCAGCAGTAAGAATGATAACAAATTCCCACTCCCGCCAGCATACTCCACCAATTTTCAAAAGTCTGAATCTGCTCACCATTAAGAACATCCATACTTATTCATGTGCCTACTACATACACAGAACAATACACACAAATATGGTATAAACCTTGGTAATAAATACCGACAAGTTGGTTTAGAAAGACACGTAAGCAGACACTATAACATATTTATTAGAAAACGTTTCGGTCCTGGGACCTTGATCACTTCTAACATACAGAGGTATAAAGACATTATATATATAGGCGGAGAGTGAGATGTGACCTGAGGAATGTCATAAGAACATAAGAATGGAGGAACACTGTAGAAGGCCTACTGGCCCATGCGAGGCAGGTCCTTATCAAAACAACCTCTACCTACGATGAGGACGGGTAGACGATGAAATCATGTGACTCCTGTGTTGTTGGGTTGGTGCTGCTTAAGTATCATGTATGCCAATGTTTTTGAAATTTTGTAGTTTCCAGTGTTGCGTTCTATAGTGTCGGTGATGGTGATTAGTGAGGCTTCTAGGCACCGTCGGTCTGAGGTCTGGTTCGGTGAGAACGAGTTGTGCCTCGTTCCAGTTCATCAAATGCCCCGTGGAGTCTCTGTGGAGGACACAGGCGTACCTTACATCGTCTCTGTTAGAGGCATTTCGATGTTCATTCAGGCGGACTGCAAGATCTCTGCCTGTCTCGCCTACATATTTCTTGGGACAGAACCCACAGGGGATAGTGTAGACGCCTGCTGTAGAAGTTAGAGGTGTGGGGCTGCATTTTGTAGTGAGGTCTTTGATAGATGATGTGTTTATGGTGGAAACGTTGATGTTACTCAGAGCAAGTGCCCTACATAACACAAGCCTTTACACGTCTTCAGTTCCCATCTTTCTTCATCCGAGATTGCAGACTCAAGGCACAAGCTATCCTCAACAAACCGCCCATGGAACAGCCCCCTAAACAGTTCATAGTTCTCCCATGTGGCGATGTTGCCACGAATACTCGCCGGGCACTTGCTATGAGTAACATCAACGTTTACCACCATAAACACATCATCTATCAAAGACCTCACTACGAAACGCAGCCCCACACCTCTAACTTCTACAGCAGGCGTCTACACTATCCCCTGTGGGTTCTGTCCCAAGAAATATGTAGGCGAGACAGGCAGAGATCTTGCAGTCCGCCTGAATGAACATCGAAATGCCTCTAACAGAGACGATGTAAGGTACGCCTGTGTCCTCCACAGAGACTCCATGGGGCATTTGATGAACTGGAACGAGGCACAACTCGTTCTCACCGAACCAGACGTCAGATGCCGACGGTGCCTAGAAGCCTCACTAATTCGCCGTCACCGACACTATAGAACGCAACACTGGAAACTACAAAATTTCAAAAACATTGGCATACATGATACTTAAGCAGCACCAACCCAACAACACAGGAGTCACATGATTTCATCGTCTACCCATCCTCATCATAGGTAGAGGTTGTTTTGATAAGGACCTGCCTCGCATGGGCCAGTAGGCCATCTACAGTGTTCCTCCATTCTTATGTTCTTATGACATTCCTCAGGTCAAATCTCACTCTCCGCCTATATATATAATGTCTTTATACCTCTGTATGTTAGAAGTGATCAAGGTCCCAGGACCGAAACGTTTTCTAATAAATATGTTATAGTGTTTGCTTACATGTCTTTCTAAACACACAAATATAAACCCTCCACTCAAACTTCTCCTCACCAACCTAAACAGGACACATGACCACAACACAAGACACAGATCTCTTTTTGATATACCTCATGTCCATATCACACTGTAAAAACCCTGCACATAAAGGACCTCAAAATATGGAATTCATTACCGGAAGATATTAAAGTAACTTGGTCTGAAAATCAATTTAAGACTCTTCTCAAAAGCCACTTAATCACCCTAGACTAAATGCTAAATACTCAGTACACACTTACTCACCTATGTACTCCCACATCATAACTGAAACAATCACATTGAACCTTTTATCCATTGTTGACAGGAATATAATTGAATCATTGTATTCACAAAAAGCATTTTCAAATATAAATATATCCTTGTATTATACAAATTTTGATTCATTTATAATAATATTCTACTGTACAACTATGATATACTCCTTAGTATTAAGTAGACTGTAAGCCAATAATGTTAAGTTGGCCCATAATGTCTAGGCATAATAGAGGCTCTCTTTGCATTGCAACCCACTATTGTAAATACAAAATCTCAATGTACTGTTTGCGAAGACATAAAATAAATAAATAAATAAATAAATTGTTAATTCTGGACCCTATTTTAACTTGTGTATGAAATTGGCCAAATTACTAATTTCTGATCACTTTATTGAGTAGTTGAAATTGGTAAATGGGCAGTTTCTTGTACTCAGTCAATAGAACAAAAGGAGTTATAGCAAAATTGCCATGAGTTTAGCCGACTGGAACACTGGAATTGGCCAAAAATAGGGCTCCAAGTGGGCAAAATTGCCAATGCATAAACATCACCAAGACCTCTAACTTTGCGAGAGCACAATTCCGTAAGTTTTCCAACAAATTTCATACTTTTTGTGTCATTACCATCGGGAAAAGATTCCTCGATTTTTTTTTTTTTCGAAATTCTTCGACGCTGAGAGCAAGTTGTGAGAAAGGGTCCTTACAGTGAAAGGGTTAATTACCAGTCTTACTCTCTACTGTAATATTGGACCACAGTTACAGTATATATATTCAACAGGTGATGCTAATGAACCCTCGCTGGAATGAGAGCCGAGAGCAGAGGATAATATTGCAAGAGGCTTCAGAGTGTGTTGTTGTATTTGAGCTGTTCTTAAGGTACCTCTACACTGGACGTTTGAAGGTCTCTCATGCTACAGTCCTTCCAATACTGGCTCTAGCAGACAAGTATAATGTTAAGGTCAGCATTTGTATTTAGTATCTAATTGTAATTCATAATTTATTTTTAAATTCAGATATTATTTGAATTAAAATAAGAGTGGAATGCAAAAAGTGGGTCTGTGTACCGTGAGAAGAAAGGAATGTAAAGGAGAAAGATTTTGGGAGATGTTAATCCTTTGTTTATAGATGGGGATGTAAGAGAATGAAATGCAGGATTGTTGGGAGAGGTGTGGATTTGGAAGATTAAGAATCTAACACAAAGTGAGAGTTGTCACAGTTGCTTTTTGCTGATGACATTGCTTCTGAAAGATTTTGAAGATAAATTGCAAAGGTTGGTGGGTGCATTGGGGAGGGTATGTAAAAGAGGAAATTAAAAGTGAACATAGGAAAAACAAGGTGATGAGAGTAACAAAATATTTAAGTAATGAAAGATGTGAAGTCAGATTAGTGTCAGATCAGAGGGAAAGAGAATGGAGGAGGTGAATGTGTTCAGATATTTGGGAGTGGACTTGTCATTAGATGAGTCTGTGAAAGACAAGGTGACAAGTCCACTCCCAGATATCCTGAACACATTCACTTCCTCCATACTCCTTCCTTCTTATATGATATCCAGTCTTTCATTACCCAGATATTTTGTTACCCTCATCACTTTGCTCTTTCCAATGTTCACTTTTAATTTCCATCTTTTATATAAGCAACTGCAAACCTCCATTTTGGGTTAGATTCTTTATTTCCTAATCCTACACCTCTCCCCTATACCTGCATTCACTTTTCTTAGTCCCCATCTATGAATATATTAAATAACCATGGTGACATTGTGCACCCCTGTCTAAGGCCTACTTCTACTGGAAATAATCTCATTCCTACTTACTCTAACCTGACCACCACTATTCTTCCAAAAACTCGTAATGCTTTCAGTAACCTACCACCTATTCCATACACTTACAACTTCTGCCACATTGCTTCCCTGTCAGTCCTGTCATATGCTTTTTCCAAATCCATAAATGCAACAAAAACCTCTTATGAAATTAAGACACACGTGCAACATCTGGGTATCTTTATTGTAGACGTTTCACCATCCAATGGCTTTATCAATATAAATTCTGGGACATAATTTGAAGACAGTAGAACTATATACAAAAGATAAGGTAATCAGTCCCTCAGCCTTGGAGTTGGTGTGAAGAGCATTGTAGTCATGAAGGTTCTGGAGCAGAGGCAAGGAGGCTAGAGCTTATATACTAATGTCAGGTAGAAAGGGGACATACAGCAGACATGGGCATAGTCAATGGTAGGCGGGATTTCCCAGTGGAAGTAGGTCATACCCAAAGAGATGGGATAGTTGTAGTAGTAGTTGTCATAGCCATGAAGAAGGTTATGTACATGTCCTCAGAATCAAGATTCCATGATGTTGCAGTGTCTGACAAGTTGTACAAGAATGGTATACAATAGCAACAAGATGAAATTGTATGCCATTCTTTTACAAAAACCTCTTTACCCTTATCTAAATTATATTCACTTATATGCTGCAATGTAACCACTTGGTCAACATATCCCCTTCCCTTCTTAAAGCCTCTTTGTTTATCTGCAGTCCTGCTCTTTTCTTAAGCCTTAATTCTGAGTGTGAGCAGGGTAATATTTATGAAGAGATTCAGGGAAAACTGGCAGGCTGGACTTAAGCCCTGGAGATGGGAAAGTACGTGCCTGCACTTTGAAGGAGGGGTGTTAATGTTGCAGTTTTATAACTGTAGTGTAAGTGCACCTCTGGCAAGACAGTGATGGAGTGAATGATGTTTTTTTTTTAATTTTTGGGCCACCCTGCCTTGGTGGGAAATGGTTGATGTGTGTTAATAAAAAAAAAAAAATAACTCTGCCAAAACGCCTTACCTGGTGTACCCACCAAGCTTATTCCCCCTATAATTTTTACAATCTCTTTTGTCCCCTTTACCTTAATACAAAGGAACTATGTATGCTTTCTGCCAATCCCTAGGTACCTTCCCTTCTTTCATACATTTATTAAATAAAAGCACCAGCCACTGCAAAACTATATCCCAACTTACCTTGAGCATTTCTATCTTGATTCCATCATTCCCAGCTGCTTTACCCCCTTTCATTCTACTCACAGCCTCACACACCTCCCCCCAACCTCACATCTACCTCTTCCTCAGAAGTGTAATAACTCCCTGGCCAATTCACAAAATCACAGCTTCCCTATCTTCAATATTTAGCATTTCCTCAAATATTCCTGCCATCTTCCTAATACCTTTAACTCCTCATCTATTAACCCCCCTATTCTCCTGTTAACTGTCAAATCCATTTGTTCCCTAGGCTTTCTTAACTTATTAATCTCACTAAAACTTTTTCATATTCTCAGCAAAATTTGTTGATAGCATCTCACCCACTCTCTCGTTTGCTCTCCTTTTACATTCCTTCACCACTCTCTTAACCTCTCCATATATCACTTCTACTTTGTATTAGAAGTTTCAGACACAAATTTATTAAATGAATTGCATATTTCCAGGATCTGATAGAGACATGTGTCAAATATATGAAGCTGCATGTTGTATCTGCATCACAACAAAATTACCTGATTGCGTGGCTTCAGTATACACTCACCTGTGGCCATTCTGATATAGCAACAGTCTGTTTGAACCATCTGAAGTGGAATTTGGAACAGGTGGCTGCAAATGAAGATTTTGCCTCGTGTGACTTGGACCTTCTGACCACAATTTTATCCCAACATGATGTGGTAGTGCATGATGAGATGGCATTATACAAGTAAGTATAGGATATTTGCGTATAAATGGCCTTAATTTGCTCTAATATAGGCATGAGAGATATAAATGTTTTTCTTTTCTCAAAATTATTCAGTACTAATATTATTTAAAAAGGAAGTTTTGTTGTTGGATTGCTTTAATATGCATGGGTATAGTCCGGATGATGAATGAACGAGAAGAGTCTGTACGAATACTGTACAGGTAAAGAATGACCTGTGAGACCTGGTCGTAATGGGAATGTGGAGCAAACATAACTCAACAGTAGACTATAATGTATATTTGCCTTCATCAGATGATATATACAGGTATGTACAATATGTACAGATGGAATAGTAAGTGTATACCATGGTGACAGATGGCAAAACAGAAGCCAGAGAGTGTGCACTGTGCTCAACCAGCAGCTAGGCAAGTCTGTCAATTCTTACCACAAGTGAACCATGTTGCTTCAGTTTTGGCAGGCTTGCCTGTGATTGACCAATGAAACAAGGTACTGAGTTAACGACGGGTACCCTATTGATTGTTGAACCCTTAGCACAATAAGTGTCAGGAGGCCAAGGTTGTTCAACTGCCTCCCAGCATACATAAGGGGATTACAAATAGACCCCTGACTGTCTTCAGGAAGGCACTGGACATGCACCTAAAGACAGTACCTGATCAGCCGGGCTGTGGTTCGTAAGTCCATTTACATGCGGCCAGCAGTAACAGCGTGGCTGATCAGACCCTGATCCACCATGAGGTATGGTCTCAGACCGGGCCTCGGAGGTGTTGACCCCCGAAACTATCCAGGTAAACTCCAGATATGTCTTGGTGATAAGCAAAACAAAGATAAAATGGGTAAGAGAAATTCAGTGGGGAGGAGTAAACACAGTTAAATTGAGTATATCGAGAGAACTGGAGATAAATAAGAAAAGTGTTCATTTATTTTTTGTTTTTCAACAAACCGGCTTTATCCCACTGAGGCAGGGTGACCCAAAAAGAAAAACCAAAGTTTTTCTTTTTAAATTTAGTAATTTATACAGGAGAAGGGGTTACTAGCCTCTTGTTCCAAAAAGAAAGAAAAAACTTTCAGCATTCAACACTTTCACCATCACTCATACATGGTCACTGTCTTTGCAGAGGCATTCAGATACGACAGTTTATATGTCCCTCCAAACTGATAGTATCCCAAACCCCTCCTTTAAAGTGCAGGTATTGTACTTCCCAGTTCCAGGACTCAAGTCCAGCTAACCGGTTTCCCAGAACCCCTTAAAATATTAACCTGCTCATGCTCCATAGCTCGTCAGGTCCCAAAAACCGTTAGTCTCCATTCACTCCTATCTAACACGCTCACACATGCTTGCTGGAAGTCCAAGCCCCTTGCCTGCAAAACCTCCTTTACCCCCTCCCTCCAACCTTTTTGGGGATGACCCCTACCCTGCCTTCCTTCCCCAATAGATTTATATGCTCTCAAAGTCATTTTACTTTGTTCCATTTTCTCTAAATGACCAAATTACCTTAACAGTCCCTCTTCAGCCCTCAGACTAAAATTTTTAGCAACTCCACACTTCCTCTCCTAATTTCTACACTATGAATTCTCTGCATAATCTTTACACCACACATTACATTTAGACTCGACATCTCCACTGCCTCAGGCTGCCTCTTCGCTGCAGCATTTACAACCCATGCTTCACACCCGTATAAGAGTGTTGGTACCTCTATTCTCTCGTACATTCCCTTCTTTGCCTCCATGGATAATGTTTTTTGTCTCCACCTGATACCTCAAGGCAGTGGAGATGTCCTGTCTAAGGGCAATGTGTTGTGTAAATATTATGCAGAAAATTCGGAGTGTGGAAATTAGGAGAAGGTGTGGAGTTAATGAAAGTATTAGTCAGAGGGCTGAAGAGGGGTTGTTGAGGTGGTTTGGTCATTTAGAGAGAATGGATCAAAGTAGAATGACATGGAGAGCGTATAAATCTGTAGGGGAAGGAAGGCGGAGTAGGGGTCGTTCTCGAGAAGGTTGGAAGGAAGGGGTAAGGGAGGTTTTGTGGGCGAGGGGCTTGGACTTCCAGCAGGCATGCATGAGCGTGTTCGATAGGAGTGAATGGAGACGAATGATATTTGTGACCTGACGATCTGTTGGAGTGTGAGCAGGGTAATATTTAGTGAAGGGATTCAGGGAAACCAGTTATTTTTAATAGCCGGACTTGAGTCCTGGAAATGTGAAGTACAGTGCCTGCACTCTAAAGGAGGGATTTGGGATATTAGCAGTTTGGAGGGATATGTTGTGTATCTTTGTACGTATATGCTTCTAAACTGTTGTGTTCTGAGCACCTCTGCAAAAACAGTGATTATGTGTGAGTGAGGTGAAAGTGTTGAATGATGATGAAAGTATTTTCTTTTTGGGGATTTTCTTTCTTTTTGGGTCACCCCTGCCTCGGTGGGAGACAGCCGACTTGTTAAAAAAAAAAAATAATTTTCTTTGTATTAAATAAATGCATTTTTAAAACTTGCCTCTTAGGTCTTTGTATACAATGATAAAAACAATATGCATTATACCTCTTCCATTTTCCTTATATAGAGCATATCCTGTGTCCTAGCTGCATGTAGCCAAGGTACGATCATGTTAAGGACATTAAAGATTACATACAGAGAGGTCACTTCTCTACCAAAAGACATTTTCCTCATTCCTCTGTGGCTTTATTTTTATGTACATATTTTGTAACATAAGTATTGTGTTAAACTTCAGCATTGTCGTGTCTTGGTTACATCGGCAAGAGGAGCGCCTACTGATGCCAACCCCAGTAGCTACTCCAGGGGAACCTCCGCCTACACTCATCCCACAGACACCTAGCACTAGTTCAGTAGTTTGTCCACCTCCAATTTCCATCACTCCTTCCTGTGGCAAGCTCTATCTTCGGCGAGATTCAACCACTAGTTCCTGTGACCCAATGGATCGCATGGAATGGTTAACTTACGAGGTTAGTATGTAATTGTGGATTATTCTCTTGAATATTTTTTTAAATGTGAAATAAGTACATTTTTTTTCCCACTGCATTGGCCCTCTCCCACTATGACTGGTGCCCCAGAAAATGACATTGTTAGAAGTGTTCAGACCTCACAGTGTTAATGACATAAGAACATAAGAAAGGAGGAACACTGCAGCAGGCCTGTTGGCCCATACTAGGCAGGTCCTTTACAACTCATCCCACTAACAAACATTTGACCAACCCAATTTTCAATGCTACCCAAGAAATAAGCTCTGGTATGAAAGTCCCACTCAAATCCAACCCTTCCCACTCATGTACTTATCCAACCTAAATTTGAAACTACCCAAAGTCCTAGCCTCAATAACCCAACTAGGTAGACTGTTCCACTCATCAACTACCCTATTTCCAAACCAATACTTTCCTATGTCCTTTCTAAATCTAAACTTACCTAATTTAAAATCCATTACTGCGGGTTCTCTCTTGGAGAGATATCCTCAAGACCTTGTTAATATCCCCTTTATTAATACCTATCTTCCACTTATACACTTCGATCAGGTCTCCCCTCATTCTTCGTCTAACAAGTGAATGTAACTTAAGAGTCTTCAATCTTTCTTCATAAGGAAGATTTCTAATGCTATGTATTAATTTAGTCATCCTACGCTGAATGTTTTCCAACGAATTTATGTCCATTCTGTAATATGGAGACCAGAATTGAGCTGCATAATCTAGGTGAGGCCTTACTAATGATGTATAAAGCTGTAGTATGACCTCTGGACTTCTGTTGCTTACACTTCTTGATATAAATCCCAATAATCTATTTGCCTTATTACGTACGCTTAGGCACTGCTGTCTTGGTTTAAGGTTGCTGCTTACCATAACCCCCAAGTCCTTTTCGCAATCTGTATGCTAAGTTCTACATTATTTAACTTATAAGTGCTAGGGTTATGGACACTCCCGAGCTTCAGAACCTTGCATTTATCTACATTGAACTGCATCTGCCACTTTTCTGACCAAGAGTAGAGTTTGTCTAAATCCTCCTGAAGTTCCCTAACATCTACGTTTGAATCAATTATCCTACCTATCTTTGTGTCATCGGCGAATTTGCTCATATCACTAGTAATTCCCTCATCAAGATCATTGATATATATTATAAACAACAACGGGCCCAAGACTGATCCCTGTGGAACGCCACTTGTTACAGATCCCCACTCGGATTTAACCCCATTTAAGTACACTTCTGCTTCCCAGTCAGTGAGACCATTCTCGATCCACGAGAGCACTTTTTCCCCCAATCCATGGCTGGCCACTTTCTTTAAACAGTCTATTGGTCGTAACTTCTATCAAAAGCTTACTAAAATCTAAGTAAATAAATTCAAATTCTTTATTGTGGTCAACAGGCTCAAAAGCTTTACTAAAAAGTTAATAAATTAGTTATAACAAGAACAGCGGCCTCTTGTGAATCCATGCTGAGTATACTTAATCAAGCAATGCTTACGAGATGGCTCTTATGAATCTCAGCTATAATTGACTCTAGTAACTTGCCGACAATTGGAGTCAGGCTATGGGGCGGTAATTTGACCGTAACGACTTATGTCCCCTGTTTGTAAAAATAGGGAATTACATAGGCCATCTTCACAATCAGACACTACACCTGTTTGAGAGACAAATGAAAAATATAGTTAATGGTTTCACCAGACTTCCATTTTGCATTCCTTAAGAACCCTTGAAAAAACCTCATCACAAGGACCGTGACTTAATTTTGCTACAGTCGTCTATCTGCTTCACAACCATTTCACTAGGGCCTGTGATGTTTAATAATTTATCTTCTTCTGATCCACTATAAAAATAAATTACTGGAAAATTATTAGTGTCTTCCCTGTGTAAAACCGAGAGAAAATAATTATTAAAATCGAGCACATTCATTCTCTTGTCAGTAAATGCCCCTAGTTATTTTTAAGAAGGGGACCTATCATATGCTCGGACTTTTGTTCTATAGACCGGAAAAAACTTTTTGTTAGTTTTTAGAATCCCTAGCAACTTTAATTTCATAGTCCCTTTTAACTTTTCTATCCCCTTTTTAATGTCCCTTCTTAATGTCCAATATACTGTTCATAAGATGACCCTCGCCTCTTTTGATACCCTATAAAATCCTTTCTATGCCCTATTAGATATTTCAGCCTATTATTCATCCATTTTTGGGTCATTTCTATTTGATCTAATTTCTTATACGGGATAAACGTTCTTTGAGCAGCAAAAGTATTGTGTTCAGAAAACTGTCATAATAATAGCTCTCTTCGTTTATACCCATCAACTGAATGATAAGTGTTTCTCTAAGCCCATCGTAATCTGCTTAAACGAAAATTCTGGGACTGTTTACTGAGTTATCCTACTACATACTTCCCATCAATTCTAAATGTAATTTGATATTGGTGTCCCGCTAGCACCCAGTCCTCTGAAACTTCAAATTATTAACGAAGGATTCATTGTTTGCCAGAACTAGTCAAGCAGGTTTTTACCGCCTTGTAGGTTCTGTCCAAAACTGCTTCAAAAAACAATCCAGAACTACTTTCTAAGAAATCGGAAGATCAAATTTCCCAGTCCAAGAATTCCATCAATATTGCTAAGATAAAGTCTCCAAAGAATTACTACATTACCGTGCCTGTGGCCCTAACAAATTTCCTCCCATAGTAGTCTACCCCTGTCCTATCAAAATTGGGGGAAACGGTAGTGCTCACACCTAAAATTAATTATTTTTTCATAGCCCCTCTGAAAATTCTATCCAACTGACGCCTGTAGTGTTACTTCAGACTTAATACCCGTTTTAGCACCAGTTTCAGATCGATCTCGGTTCAACAAGCCACCCCCACCCCCTTCCCGACACTTCAATCTACTTGGACAATTTAAAAAAACCCTGAATGTGACATTCTGCAGGCAAGTCCCCCGACTTTTGAATTAAACCACGTCTCAATGTAATGGCAAATACATCTATTTACCTGCACTATCAAACTAGTCTCAACTCGTCACATCTTAATCCTAGTACACTGCGACTATTTTGTGTAATAAAGTGTTTAATGCCCTCCTCCTCTCATCTTTTACCCTTCCTGCTCCTTTCTGTTTATTCCACTAAACTATTATGGTCCTTGCAGTATTAAGAGCCACTGGCTTTCCAATATCCACCTCATTTTGCCTATACTAGTTCTCCTATTACTCATGTTCTACGCTGCCTGCGACTTCACAGTTTCCCCCAAAACCCATACCACTAAACTAATCCTAGTTTAAAGACCTAACAGGCTCCCTCCATCTGCAGTTTGCCCAGTGCTCCCACCCAGACTAGATAATTGAACCCCATCCCTGGCATACATTCATATTTTCCTGCCATAGAAAGGTCCCAGTTGTTCAATGAATGTTACCGCATTTTCCCTTACAGTATTTGTCCAGCCAGCAATTGACACCAATTGCTCTGGACAACCATCATTTCCAACTCCTCTCCTTGGCAAATGCCAATATGACAGGTTTCCCACCCTTCTTCCTAATTATCTCTATTGCTGACCTATACCTGCTAATCAGGTCCTCATTTCTAGTCTGCCAACATCGTTGCCCAGCACTGAGACAGTAATAGGATTGCTCCCATTACCTTCATGATGTCCATCCAGACGGGCTAACAATATCCTTACCCCAGCCCCAGGAAAACATACTCTCTGCTCCCTCTCCTATCCTTCAAACAGAATGCCCTACCATGTACCTAATTGGCTATCCCCAACAACACAATGTTTTTTCCCTTCCTTGGCGTCGTCCGTAGTGATTGCTCTGAGTAGTCGACTCACATTCGCCAGGTAGCATTACCCCACTTGTAGAATTCGTCATGACGTTCTCGATGGTCTTCGTTGGGGTTTCTAGGATGTCTCACTCACGTCTGCCAATGCTTCCTTGGTTGCTCTTTGTGGCATTCCCAGTAGAACATCACATTCGTCAGGTAGCACCCGAGAATGAGTTGGAAGTTTCCACGGCAGTCTTCTGGTTTCTCGTTGTTTCTGCCTCTCCAACCGTTTTTTTTTAATTTCAGCTTGGTTCCATGTTGCCCGGCCACTGACCAAGCTCCCCTCTTAACCTGGGGACTCACAACAGGTGGATTACTACGAATCCTCTTGTTCTCCTCCGTTAATCGCCGTATCTCCAGTTTAGCAACTCTGAGTTCTTCTCTCAGCTGCTGGTAAAGCTGCTCAAGAGAGGGCATCCTGGTTCAGATTCACAGAGAGCACACAAACAGGTCTTCACAGAGCTAAGTACACGTCACCACTGGGCTAAGCAGCAACATCCTCTGCCATCCTTTTCATTGCAGGTTCTGTACTTCACAGTACTGTACCTGCACAGTAAAGTACAGGGTTCAGGAATTGGTGTCCTTGAACCCCTTGATAAATGTTACTCTCCTCACATTCCAACCACTGTTCTCCACTGATCTAAAACACACACATGCACACACGTACATGCGCACAAGCATACACACAATGTATGTGCGCGCACACACAGATGATGGAGTTGGCACTGGAAAACCTCATTCATCAAATTGTTAGGGACATTACCAAATAGAGGGAAGGATGAACCAGCAAGGCTGGACCTCGTATTCTCCTTGAGTAATTCAGATATTGGGGATATCACACTTGAAAGGCTTCCAGAACTAACAGTGGAAAGTGAAACAGCACATGAAAGACAGGAGAAGTCAAACTACAAAAGAGGGGACTACACTGGCATGAGGCAGTTCCTGCATGATGTGCAGTGTGGAAGAGAACTGGAGGGAAATACTGTAAACGAAATGATGGAACATGTGACCACAAAGTGCAGGGAGGCAGAGAAAAAGTTTGTACCCAAGGGCAACAGAAACAATGGGAAGACCAGAATGAGTCCTTGGTTTGCCTGAAGGTGTAGAGAGGCCAAAGCTAAGTGTGCTAGAGCTTGGAAAAAGTGTAAAAGACAAAGGACCCAGGAAAATGAGGCGAACCAAAGAGGCAGAAATGAATATGCATGG